GTCCTCCCCCACATCCGTTCAAAGCATGGGCACAAGTACCCACGTTCACAATTCTCCACATCGTTCATCATTTTATAAACCTCAAATTTTGGACGAACACCAGAAGAACCCCACGAACTCCACCAGAGAGATCCTGTCAAGAAACCAGGCCAAACCAGCTGCGTCACTATACCGCGACTGCCTACGTACCATCTACCGGGATCAAGCTAACCGTAGTTCTACAATTATTCTCCAACATAGTCTCCACCTCACCTCCATCACCGCCCGGCAGGGCCATGCCCTCTTGGGCAAATCAACACGGGCTGATATGAAGCAAGTCCAAGCAATGCTGGAACTTGCTACCTGTGACCACCTTGGTTAACATGTCAGCGGGATTCTCATTCATATGCACCTTCATGAGAGAAATATCTCCTTCCTCTATGACATCCCGCACAAAATGATATCTGACGTCGATATGCTTGGTACGAGCATGGTGAACTTGATTTTTCATCAAGTGAATCGCACTCTGACTGTCGCACCACAAGTTCACGCTTTCCTGCTCGATCCCCAAATCGTCTAGAAGACCCCACAGCCACAATGCTTCCTTCACTCCCTCCGCCATGGCCATATACTCGGCCTCTGTTATAGAAAGTGCCACTGTAGCCTGCAACATCGATCGCCAACTAACTGGAGCTCCATGTATCCGGAATACATAACCAGTAGTAGATCACCGTCTATCTAGATCGCCTGCATAATCTGAGTCCACATACCCGTCGATCTGACATGTATCCCCACCAAAACACAGACCCGTATCCGCGGTACCTTTCAAGTACCTTAGGACCCATTTCACTGCTTCCTAGTGTGTCTTTCCCGGATTCGCCATGAATCTGCTGACCACACTAACCACCTGTGAAATGTCAGGACGTGTACACACCATGGCGTACATCAAACTGCCAACTGCACTAGCATAAGGAACACGCTCCATGTGTGCCTTATCTTCCGCTGTAGTGGGAGATTGTTTACCTGAGAGTCTAAAGTGTGGAGCCAATGGAGTCACCACTGACTTTGCACTTTGCATCCCGAACCTCGCGATCACCCGCTCTATGTAGCCCTTCTGACTCAAGAACAATCACCGATTCGCCCGCTCTCTTCTAATCTCCATGCCCAGTATTTTCTTAGCAGCGCTCATGTCCTTCATCTCGAACTCTTTGCTGAGTTGAGATTTTAGCTTATCTATCTCCACTTTGTTCTTCGATGCAATAAGCATGTCATCCACATACAACAGGAGATAGATATAATCACCTCCATGAAGCTTCTGAATGTAAACACAACAATCATAGTCACTTCGGGAAAACCCATGCTTCAGCATGAAGGAGTCAAATCGCTTGTACCACTGTCGAGGAGATCGCTTCAGTCCATAGAGTGACTTCCTCAAGCGACATACATGATTCTCCTTGTCCTCAACCTTGTATCCCTCAGGTTGATGAATATAGATCTCTTCATCCAAGTCTCCATGCAAGAAGGCTGTTTTAACATCGAGCTCAAGATCACCATGAGCAACAATACTCAATAGCACCCGAATAGAAGTGTGTTTCACCACCGGAGAAAATATCTCATTGTAATCCACACCCTCTCTTTGTGCAAACCCCTTAGCCACTAGCCTGGCCTTGTATCTTGTACCACCGAGCTCTGAAGGATCTTCTTTTCTCTTATACACCCACTTACAACTAATAGCTTTTCTTCCTACGGGCAATGGGACCACCTCCCATGTTTGGTTCTTCCGGAGAGATTCCATCTCCTCCTCCATCACAGCCAACCAACTCTCACTATCTTTATCCCGAATAGCTTCCTTGAAGGAGACCGGCTCATCTTTCTCCACCGAGAGTGCGTACTCAACCAAATTAACATGCCCATAGTGCTTCAGGGGTTGATCAGCCTCCAGCTTCTGTACCTGCTTGTATGCTCGCCTTGGCCTAGTGGAAGGCAAGCTATCCTCGAGCTGTCAAAGGTAGCGTCCCTGCTGATCACGAACTTCGAATCTTCTGTACACCAAAGGCGGTAGCCTTTTACGCCCTTTGCATACCCTAAGAAAATTGCCTTCTTGGCCCTCGCATCAAGCTTTCCCTCGTTGACGTGATAGTAGGCGGTACACCCGAAGATTCGGAGCCTCTCATAATCTGCATGCTCCCCTGACCACACCCGATAGGGTGTGTCACCGTCCAATGTCGAATGTGGAGATCGATTCACTATATAGCAAGCTGTAGCAATCGACTCTGCCCACCATTCTTTGCCCAAACCAGCATATGATCGCATACTCACTGCTTTCTCCCGCAGTGTTCGGTTCAGTCTTTCCGCGACCCCATTTTGCTGTGGTGTAGATCTAACTGTCCAGTGTCTAGCAATGCCCTCCTGATCACAGAACTCCTTGAAAGCACCGTCTGTGTACTTTATACCGTTGTCAGATCTCAGCGTCTTCAATTTCTTTCTCGTCCTGTTCTCAACCATCGCCTTCCACTTCTTGAATGTCTCAAATACCTCATTCTTATGCTTCAGGAAATAAACCCAAGCATACCTCGAATGATCATCTATGAATGAGACAAAATATTTAGAACCATCCTTGGAAGTTTTTGAAGCCGGACCCCAAACATCCGTGTGCACATAATCTAGTATCCCTCTGCTCTTGTGATTGCTTCTCAGGAATTGAACCCTGTGTGCCTTTCCATACACACAGTCCTCGCAAAAATCCATGTAAGATTTCTTCAGATTCTTCAGCAAACCCTCTTTACCAAGCAGATCCAGACCCTTCTCTAATATGTACCCAAGCCGCCTATGCCATAACCGTGTGTGCTCACATGGGTCTCCATCACTTCCTTCAGCTCCAACTGCTGCATCTCCCGTCACCGTCGTACCCGAGAGAGTATATAGATTACCGTGACGAACACCCTTCATCACTGTTAAGGAACCCCGAACAACCCTCTTCACTCCGTTAGATGAGATTCTTCCGCAAGCCGGGAACGTGTCGTACGTCCGTCAGGGTTCGAACCACTCCATCATGCATCTTGATTTTGATATCACCTAGCCCCACCGTTTTACAAGCATGGTTGTTCCCCATCAATACGGTTCCACCATCAATGCTCCTGTAGGTAGTAAACCACTTCCTATTTGGACACATGTGGTAAGAGCAACCAAAATCAAGAATCCACTTCCCGGAGGTATCCTCGCCATCTGTGACGACATAACATTCCTTATCGCTCCCATCCTCTGAAGCGTAGCTCGCCTCTTCCTTGCCTTCTTGTCTTTCAGTCTTGTTGTTGTTCTTTTTCCCACCTACTATCTTGTTAGGACAATCGACCTTGAAATTCCCAACTTCACCGCATTTGAAACACGCTCGTCCCGCAAGAGGTCTCGATTTAGATCTAGACTTTCCTCCCTTGCCTTTTACTCGCTCATTGCCTCTTCCTCTGGCAAACAGTCCCTGCGCTTGTTCTTTGTTACCACCAGTGGCCATATCACTAGTTGTAATTTTTCAAAGATCATCCGCTAGAAGCGTCGTTCTAGTTTCATCCATCGATAAAGTATCACTCACAAGCATCAATGTTTGTACCAGGTTCTCATAAGACTTCGGCAGAGATAGAAGTAGTAGAAGCGCCTGATCCTCGTCTTCCACTATCACCTTAATGTCTTTCAAGTCTGATAAGATCATATCAAACTTGTTGATGTACTCCCGGATTCACGAGCCCTCCTCCATCTTGCAAGTATACAATTTGGATTTTAAATAGATCCGGTTCGTTAGACTCTTCGTCATGAAGGTGTTTTCTAACTTCAACCACACACCCACAGCCGTTTCCTCCCCGTCTACCAAGAAAGCTACATCCCTCTCAAGGCATAGGATAATCGACGCTCGTGCTTCCAGATCCAGCTCCTCCCAATCCTCATCAGACATATTTTTATGCTTCTCTCTTCCAGCCAAAGCCTTGTGCAACTTTTACGAAATCAGCGAATTTTTCATCTGCATCCTCCAATAGGAAAAATCATTTTTCCCATTAAATTTTTCAATCTCGTACTTTCCAATTTTATTTGTTTTACTTGTAGAAGCCATTTTCCGCTTGTATTATGACAATCCGCTTCTCTCAGGAATTTTTAACAATTTCTTTGTGTTTTACCACACAATATTCAACCACCCCCTGAGATCAGAAATTTTACCACCTCCAGTCTGAATAAGGGGCTCTGATACCAATTGTTGGGTCGGAGGGTCACGCCCACCGCCGCGGAAGCGATATCACCTGAGAGATAGCCCTGACTATTGTTGTCACAAAAGCACAAGTCAACCTTTATATTCTTGTTTCTCAAAGGAAACGAGAATAGATAGATTGTTGTCACAAAAGCACAAGTCAACCTTTATATTCTTGTTTCTCAAAGGAAACGAGAATAGATAGTGAAATTCTTATTTCTCAAAGGAAACAAGAATCGAAAGTGATATATTTCATCAAAGTGAAATATACACTCTTCCTCTCATCAGTTCAAGGACTGAAATATCGAGGGAACCTACAAGCTATGACAACTCACAGATAAGACAAATACAAACACGAGATTTTTACGTGGTTTGGCAAACTAGCCTACGTCCACGGGAGGGGGTTTCACTATGGAGGAAAAATACCAAACTTATACAAGTTCTCTCTTCCTCTCTTTCTTTTCTCTCAAAAATACTCCACTTGAGATTTTTCCCACTAATTTCTCCCCACACAAATTTCATCTCACAACCTCTCCTATTTATAGGAGAAATGCTCCCATGTGCATTGCTGGAACCAGCTCAAAATGAGCTTGGAGGAGTATGGGGGAGGCAACGTGCTATGTACAAAGGCATGGGGGGACTTGCTTTGTCCTGTGGATCCAGCCGATACCAGAGTGAGGGCTTGTGTCCTCCCCCACATCCGTTCAAAGCATGGGCACAAGTACCCACGTTCACAGATATAATTACACTACACTCAAAATTCCAAAAAGCTACTAAAAAAAACTCTTACCAGGGCAGAAATAATTATCAGGGAGCTTCTCAAATGGAGTCCTGTCATTATATATATACCTGCCATCATCAAAAAAAAAAAAAAAAAACACGACACATTCAGCAGCTTTATCAGAAACACGTATAAGAAGCTCCGAAGAAATGGGAATTGAAAACATAAACAAACCCGCAGTCCCGACAAATGTAGGCTTGTTTCGAAGCAACTCTCATCGAAAACTTGGGCGCGGTCGCAGGAGAAGCTCCCCAAGAGGGAGAGATAAAGAGATTCAGTGATCGAGAGAAGAACGAGGATCTAAGAGCGAAGCGACCCGCAGGTCTTCGTAAGCCTGCAGGGGCATAGTTCGGAGGTGATAACGGTGGTAATGGTGAGGATCTTAGCCCTGCTGAAGCCAGAAGGGCCATTGACCTTGTTTTTGCTGTGTCTGTTGCTCCTCTCTGTCAATCCTTTGGAGAAGAGGAAAGATGTTGATAAGAAAAAGTAGGAACGGAAGCGTGGCTTGCGTATTCTCCTTCAGTCTCTTATCTTTGTTGGTTCCTAATAAGGGGCACATCTGGAAGGCGTTGTAGGTTTGCGTCTGGGTCCTCTTAGTTTTTGCATATTTGTAAATCGATATTAGTTTGCTAGGTGCATCCCCAACTTCTGCAGCACTTAGGAACTCTTTGACGACTTCTGCAGCACTTTGGCACTCCTTTGACGTGAAAATATTTACTACATATTTTTTTTTAATATGAGGCTTGTATCTTCTTCGTTAATACTTGGTGCACTTGGATTGTATACTGTGCGTCTGTTTTCTCTACTCTTAACAAATTTTCTGGATATATTGCCCTCTGGTTACATGAAAAATCACTATGTACACGCGATACCTCAAGCTCTGGGTGATTAGAATGTTAAGAGAGTACGCACAACATTTTCTTCCTCTTTCTTATACATCTTGAAGGGGCATTTAAATTCAATTCAGGAAATATATGAATGCATCTTGTAATGTAGTGTTTTAGTGTTACTCTACCTAAGAGGCCGACAGTTTGAGCATCTCTTGTTTACTCTCAAAGCCAAAAACTAACTACAAGATACGTCAAAGTACCACTCTGCATATTTTCCTTGCATGTACTTGTAAGGGCGTGCATAGATTATCTAACTTACTTCGCTGAGATATCGACATTCAGTAATGAAAGCTAATTTAGCAGCCTGCTAAGAAAGACATCTAAAATTACGCTTCTCCAGGGGTTGAGTTTGTCACTACTCTTGTGATCAGTGAATGAAAAGTAATACAACAGGTGGAATTGCAGTCTCATACAACTGACTGAGTTCAAAAAATAAAATAGTCATTGTTACTTTGATCGAATACAATTTATCGCAAGCACCTCTTTTCACAAATTGTGAACTTCCAAATAACCGATGGAGTTTACAAGCAATGAAGGCAACTGTTCGTAAACACGATCACTGTTCTTGAACATCAATGTCATAAATTCGCCCAGATAGCCCGCATTTCAACTCTCTTTTGCTTCCAAGTAAAGTTGACTCTTCTTTCAGAGAAAACAATAAAACAATCTTGCTCATGAAACAATTAGAGTACCTGCGGGTTGGAGTTAACCAATTATCACAAAATCTTCAAAACATTGCAAGTGTAAGAAATATTGATTGTGCTAATAAGAAATAAGAATAGCAGAAAGCAAACCTCATTCGGGTATCAGCTTGGAATGACTTTTAGAAGCTCTATATCGAATAAAAGAGTTTTGTCAATCAATCCTTGGTTTCTCAGCACAAAATCTAGAGCTCTTTGGCCCTGTGAATAAAGTTCAAAGTTAATTCCGACTTTTAAATAATTCAATGTCTCTTTAAGGCTCAACAGGCCATCCTCTGAGGAGCCTCAAACCGGCTGATCATCATAGGAAAAAAATATATATTTTGCGCGTGAGACTTTGACTATAAATGTGCATATCGTTTAGACTATAGTTCAGTAATGATTGAAGTCTAGGGATATAGTTTCAAAGAACATTTACAAATTGCAAGATACTTTGGGGGTAAATATGCTGAAAGACACTTGCAGTACTTGGTAGAATCTTACTTACCGAGAAAGTCGTGGGTTTGGGACCAAGTTTATTGAAATCATTTTCTGGATATCCCAACTCAGGAGGTACTATTATCCTGCATTACTGTGAAGTCAAGTGTTAAGAAGTACATGTTTACAGAATGAGAACAGATAAAGGAACTACAACACACTATCATGAAAAATGCGTGTAAGATTCTGCAAGTAACTGTGGGAAAGAATTATTGAAATGGTCCAAGATAGTCTGCACAACAGATGATTTAAGAACGGGCACAGTTCATCTTGAAGGAATTACATAGGGTAAATAGCACGAAACCCCCAAGAACTTTCAGCATTTTGCAGTAAACACCCCAATACTTTTTTCAATTGCAGAAAACCCCAATAAGTCCCCTCGCGTTGAATATAACCCCATAAACTAGAACCAAAAAGCAACATAAAACAAGGCATTTTGAAAGGTATGGGGGTTTAGTGTAATTAACCCAAAAGATAGTGGGGGTGTTCTGATAAAGTTACTGGAGGTTTAGTGCGATTTTGAAGTTGTTGGGTGTTTACTCCAACATACTGAAAACTTAGGAGTTTAGTGTAATTTACCCGATTACTTATGCAAGAAATCAAGGGAGCAGGTTCATCCAGAGTTCCAGTAAAATGAGCAAACACAATATGCAAATATAGATATGAACTGCGCTAGTGTTGTTCTTTTCTTATTTCTAACTTTCTGAGATATTTAAATATACATTTTATCAGTTGGTTGTTACAATTTTATATTTTTCTAAGGCATGCATAGCATGTGCTTTTTTTGGTACCCTAGTTCGCATAAAACGCAAATCAGTGTCGCTTATCATCTACGCAGGTTCAATAACTTAATGCAGTGTGTAGAGAAAACCAACTTTGGACGTCCTTAATGCTAAAACTTGAGAGGCGCTCAACTTCACCTTCTAATGCCCCCTGGAGCCATGCCAACAACTGCTTCCTCAAATGCCTGTATAACCTGATAATAGGAAACGATATAGGATTGTTTAGGCTAGGAAACACATAGATATTGATGAATACAAGTTGAGATTCAGGGGCAGGCCTAGCATATGGATCACATGAATAAAACAATTAAATGGTAAGGCATCTTTAATAGAGTAACATTTTGCTGTTCAAGGAGAAAACAAAGATCCAGCTCCCTTATTAAGATATTGCCTAGAAAGAAAATCTTGGCCAATAACCTCACATAGCATGCATTAGACTAATGATCAGACGAATCTAAATGGAACTAGGAAAGCACCATGGCCTCATTGTATAATCACTCAAAGAAGAACAAAGACACATAGAAGGAAGTAAAACGGTTACTTTTGTATTCATATTTCCAGCCCACTAGTTACTACATTTTCTTTTACATGGCTATGGGTATTGACAAATCATAATTATTAAAATCTTGACAATCAAATATGGATTTCTGACGTGATATTTACAGGAGACTTAGTGCTAGCTAAGCCACTTTTTGTCAACTTTTTGCTTAATATTTTGTTTCATAGATAACCTCTTTTTTATTAGAGTTGGATATTATCAAAGGAAGATCTTGAGTGGAGGTCATTTAGACATACTTCAGCAATATACCTCATATCCCTCCACAGACAAACAGTTGTTTTGGATGATAAGGATGACGATACCACTAGACACTTAATGTAACTAAGCAATAAATGGGCCATCTGATACGAGAAGGAGGTGAACCACTACCTTCCAGTCAGTAGTTACTTGAGTACACCAAATAACACTTAACCTCGAGTATTTGCTTCCTTCATATACCTTTGAAAGTTGCGACATATTTCACTTCTCTACCCCAATAAATTTTAAGAATGAAACAAGCTACACGTGAATTATTTCAAACTTAAATTTGATTATATTACTTTGTGAAGGTTAGAGTTTGGTTAGAGTTTGAAACTAAAATTCAAAGTTTTACATGAATTCAACAGTCATATAAAAATTTTGATCTTATAAGACAAATGCAATTTACAATCAATCATATTTCAAATTCTTGATTATATATTTTACCTACATCTTTAAACATAATATCAAAAAGCCTCTCAAATGTACTCATCAAATGTACTAACTATCTCAGGTGAAATAAAAAAAAATCCATAATTAAAGCTCAAGATATGTAAACGATATATTGAATCAAAATAATACTCTGAATGATAAGCTTGACAAGAAAAAGGCAGAACAATTCAAAATAAATAAAATTAATATTAGCACCTATGAATTAGATTGTTAAATAACCTGTTGTGATCCAAGCTTAAACTTGAAAAAGTCTTTATCATCTCCCTGCAATTAAGACATCAAGGTACTGGATATCACTAGGATCTCAGCTTCACTTTAAGCCACTATTTGTTTAATAGCCAAATATGTAAGATTTTTCTACTAACCAAGTATTTAATAACCAAAAAGAATGCTAAGAATCTTGCAAGGATAAAGAGAGAGCCAGAAACAAAAATGCATACCTCAAAGGAACCTCCTTTAGTCTTGTTTCGAGCTTCAAAGATCCGGCCGTAGTATCCTATTGTATAACCATCCCAATCAACCTTAAATGCATTTAAAAAATTCATGTCTTCATCAGCCTGTGCTAATCAACTGCAATTTAAATGTCCAATTAACTTAATTTCATTCATGAAACATATGAATACTATGTTACCCAGGTACTCCTAACTGAAGCCATACCCATACTTGTATCCTAACTGAATACATTTACTTGGGCCTGTCCTAACTGAATACATTTTATTCAGGCATGTATTCACTTATTCAATATATGTTCAAACACTTCTCATACATTTCTTGGATGCAGATCCTACACATTCACTTCCTAAAACTTGTCGCACATAGGTCAAGTTTCGAACTATTATTTTATAGGTTTGTTTGGGTGTCTAGTTAAAAAATGGTGGTTAGCCAATTTATAATTCACATAACAAATGAAACATAGAAGTGTTATAGGAATTTTAATTCTCATAACACGTGAATGAAAAACAATATTGATCTCATCTAAATTATTAATTTTAATTATGTATATAAATATTTATGAAGTTATGTCCCTGTACACTACCTTTTACAAATTTGTCGTGTCTTATACCCGTACCAATACCAGCAGACATACCCGTACCCATTCCCATGCAATTTAGTACAAATCGAATCTAAATCTACTGTAGGATAAAGGAACCCATCTGCAGAGTCATGCTCTTTGGAGCCATATACATATTAACCAGACAATTCAAAAAATTGAGAAACAATGAATGTGTTCCAAGTTCATGCAGTCTGAATCATAGAGTAAATATCAATAAGTGAAGGTAAAACTAGCAAAAGATTATCCAGCTTACCACTACTGTGTCCCCCATTTTTGGTAATGGACCTTCACCGGTTCGCAGATCCTGCAGTTAATTACGTGTTAGAAAAAAGATGACAGCTACACCTTGTGTTATTCGATGTAAGGTTGCATGCTAGTAGATGAATGGATAACCTTGTATTGTAGGCCTGATTGTGTCTTTGTGTAATCTGGATATCGCATTTTGCTTTTCCCATAGTCCTTTCCACGAAGTGCTGGCACTGTATCAGCATTTACCGGTGAATAATATTAGAACTCACTAATTATGAGCAAAAAGCATAACTATGTGTAGGTTGCTTGCTTAAAAGGTTTGCAATCTTCATGGCCTACTGAGACCAGCTCAGTTTAGATGGATATATGGGATAGGCCATATTTAAGATTTATTAGAAGTTATTTTTGCAAATATGAATCTAGATTTGTATCTTAATAATGAAAGGGACAAATCTCAAGTTGTGTGGTCATGCGCTTGATTTGGGCTCAACTCTTTTCGCTGAAAAACACAACATGAGCAATTTGAAATGAAAATGTCTACACAGTAATTCCATCTGCAATATTCAAAATTTCCAAGGACTAAAAACTAAATGCTTATGCAAGTTTCTCATCTATTCAATGTTGACAAAAGAACCCCTCTGGAAATTAGCTGATAAAATCTATGGCAGATCCATTTATACATTATTTGAGAGGTTTAAAACATGACGAATAGTGTGTATATACCCTACACAAGAGACTGAATCAACTAATTGTCTACAGTTATTTTCAAATTTAAAGTTGCTTTTCCTAGTCTGTGACTGTACTTAATAAGCCTCTCCCAAACATTCATGGGCCATCAGTTCAAGGATAATTTACAGAGATTTTTACATCTCATTTAATTACCGCCAAAGAATCTATCTTCCATACCTTAGGCGTACTTAACCTTCATTTCTCAAGAAAAATTTAGATTTATTACCCCTTTATCTTCTAAACACTTCCCAATCATGGTAGTTAATGGCATTATAGTTTTTCAAACTTCTTTTCCCTTAAAACAACTTTGACTTCATCTATATTCCTCGCTGATATCTGTAGTCTTCACATGCGCAAATTCATCTGGTGTTTTCCCCTTTTTGTCATCGAAGGCTAAACCAGGACCGAAGCTGAGAGCTCTTATAATGGAACTTCAAGCTCTTACCATTGACAGAGCAGTTGTCTATATCTTATCCTCCAATAGCTTTACTTCAATAAATGTTCAGGTTTCATCTGAAAAAGGTTTAACTATGAATGTCCCATTTCATGATAATCAACTAAAAATCATATTCTTCTCAAAAGAAAAAACAATCTTTTCTCTATGCAGAATGTTGTATAGATTGGTTCCACAAAGATCCCACAACTGAATGCTTAACTTTCATGCTTAGAGCCTGACAATCCACACTTTAGGCTGAGCCAACCCAATACTTCCAGGACAAGAGAAGTTCAGTCTGGAAAAGCACAACTCCAGCTACATCAGACTCAGGCCAGGCGTAGGTTCACTAAACTGCCGGCCATATCGCATGTGTGACGTAGAAAGAAACAGTGATGCATGTGTGCATTATGGGTGAAAGGAAAATCAGTAATGTAGTTATGGCATGAAAGACTTACTGTCAGCAAATTCAGATGCTGAAGCTCCTTCTTTGTCCAAAATACTCGAGAAGGCATTACCAATAAGCCCAATGGATGAAACCATCACTAGTTTTCTTCTATTAAAACTGCATCCAGCACTCTTCCCTCCATCTGCATCCATCAAAAATGAAACGAAATCAATAATGACGACATGCAATTTTTCACACCATGAGGAGCATGTCATCTAGTTAGATGGAGATATTTTCCATCTGAATTAATAGTGAAGTAAAACATAATGGTATCTCCCCATATTTGAAACCAAACTAACCAGGTGTCAACTTGTTTCTCGTCTCCTGGTTATCTTCATTATAATTACTCGGGGTTCAAAAAATCTTTACGGTTGCAACCAGGTTGCTCTTTTGACTTTGGAACAAATTCTTTTCAGTGTATTTGTTTCTTCACATTCATTTCCTATCCATGATAGGGAATAGTTATGACCTTTAAACAAAGAAAACCTCCATCATTGGTTGTGAATAGTGTCAATAGTGTAAAGTTATAACCTCAATCCTCTCCATAACTTAGCAGTTTCGATCCAGTGGCAGGAAACATAGTATCGGGGCAACCTAGGTTAAAGTCTAGCCACGAATTTAAAGCGGGTCTAAGAAAAAAAAGAGTAATGATAATTATGCTGCACTTTTTATATTACTTTTGTACTACACAAACAAATCAGTAGGGTCATGGTGACTCACCACTTACGTATTGCACATTTTAAGGAAGGACCCATGCATTTGTTACTGGTAGCACAAAAGTAGTATAAGAAGTGTAGTACAATTAGCATTTTTCAAAAAAAAGGAACCACTCTATGAGTCATGATGCAGCTAATAAAAGGGCGCTCAACCTAGGAGAACATGTAAGAGTATAAAATTATAATTATAACGCTCAATCTGTAGAAGGAATCGTACCTGGTCGACCTCGCCTGCAGGCGAGGGCGTGGAGGCGAGGAGAGCTTGGGCGCGAGTGGAATCGAAGCTCGCCTGATGGCGAGATTTTGAGAGGGCCAAGGTGAGGAATCGAGCTCGCCTGCGTGGTGGAGGCCAGCTGTAGACAGCTGGCGAGGTTTGAGCTTGCCTGTAGCATTTGTGGAACTCGCCTACACGAGAGCGAGTTCGACCATGCATGTTCGAAGTTCGCCTACGGAGTTGTGGTGGGATCCAGCTGGATTCCACCCGATTGAAGAGAGCTCTCCCTAAGGTTTCCCTATAAAAGGGAAACCCTGTTCACAGAGCGGAGGGGGAGCAGAGTTGGAGCAGAGAGCTGGACGGCAGCATTTCTTCTGTGCTTCCGTTCTCTGCAATTTGGGAACTTTCGGTTTTTTGTTCTCGTCTGTCCATGTTCTCATTTATTGCTGAGAAGGGGTTGGTGAATATTAATTGGGGTTTATATATTTAAGAGAGAGTGTTTGAGCATTGATTTTAGATTAAAATCAATTGCTATTTGTTTGAGAGATCTCAAGTGAGTGTTTGAGCATTGATTTTAGATTAAAATCAATTGCTATTTGTTTGAGAGATCTCAAGTTTGAGATCATCTCTCTTATTTGTAATTTCTTGTTATTAATTGAGAGATCTCAAGTTTGAGATCATCTCTCTTATTTGTAATTTCTTGTTATTAATAAGAAATTATTGTGTTACTCTCGTGGATGTAGGCAGATTTACCGAACCACGTAAAATCTGGTGTCTTGCATTTGTGATGTTTTTTTTTGTTGTTGATTAGTGTTCCAATCTTGTTTGTAATCGTGTGCCTACGATTCTGCTGCGCACAACAAGTGATATCAGAGCTCCGGGTTTGGCTTGGGGTTCGATTTGGAGAAGAAAGCTAGGGCTTGAATTCTCGTTTGAAGAGATTGGATTGTCAAGATGACTGAAATAAGTACATCGAGATCGTCTCTTTCAAAGGCGATACAAGGGTTGATCATTAATAATACAAAAATTGATGTTTAAAAATTTGATGGTAAGATAATTTTCTGTTTGTGAAGGTGTCAAGTGATGGATGCATTAGACGCCTAAAATTTGAAGGAGACTCTTGAATTACAAGAGAAACCCGAGGATTAGAGGACAAAGTTTGGAAGAAAATGAATAGTAGAGCGTGTGGGGTTATTCGATCATATTTGACGCCGGACTTGATTTATGATGTGATGAACGAGACATCGAAACGGTTGTGGGAAACACTCAATGAGAAGTATTTGACGAAGAGCATTGAGAATTGGCTTCATTTGAAGAAGAGGTTTTACCAATTCAAAATGAAGAGGAGAGTTTTCATTAGAGAACATGTTAATAACTTCACAAAATTGCTATCGGATATGGTCAATGTGGATATCATGATAGAGGATGAAGATAAGATGATGTTGTTGCTATATTCATTGTCAGAGGTTTATTTTGGTACCTTTGTCCTTATGATGATTAATGGTAGAACCACTGTCAGCTATAAGGAGGTGACTTCAGCATTGGTGAACTATGAGTTGAGGAAGAGTGATAGTGAACCCTCCGAGAAGACATCGGAAGATGCATTGACAGTGAGAGGTCGTAGTCCAAACCGCCGTCCATTTAATCGCTCCAAGTCGAAGCAAGAAGGTGGCTATAAGAGTGTTGGTAGAAATCAATGTCGTTTTTCTAAAGAGGATGGACATTGAAAGAATGAATGCCCAAAGTTGAGAGATAGAGCCGGGAAGAATAAAGGGAAAGTCGTACAGGTTTCAGAGGTGAATGTTGTCAAAGCTAGCGACGATAATTCAGATTCAGATTCTTCGAGCTACTCATGCCCAGCATTACCGTCAGTTTGTTATGCCGATTCTACGGAGTGGATGTTGGATTCAGATACTATATATCATATTTGTCCTATGAGGGATTGGTTATTCAGCTTTGAGGAGCTAAAAAGAAGGGATGTCGTGTTTATAGAAAATGATCACGTATGTCCTATCGGTGGTATTGGTACAATCCGGATCAGGATGTGTGACGGGGTGACTAGGGAGTTGAAGGAAGTGAGATTCATTCCTCAATTGACGAAGAATATCAGAGGCAGCTGGCTATAAGGTGTTTTTGAAGAATACAACTCTGAAGGTCACAAAGAGGTCCATGGTGGTGATGAGAGGTGTCAGGGAAAATAACATTTACTATTTGAAGGGCAAGACGGTAACAGGGGGTCTGACAACTTCGATAATACAGAGGAGGATACTACCAGCTTATGGCACATTAGATTGAAACACACTGGTGATAAGTCCATGCAGATATTAGCAAAACATGGGCTATTGAAGGGTGCAAAGACCTGCAAGATGGAGCTGTATGAACATTACATACTTGGGAAGAAGACAAAAATGAAATTCAGCACCGCAATTCACAATACCCAAGGTATATTGGATTATGTTCATACTGATGTTTGGGGTCCTTCCAAGAACACATCTCTTGATGGGGCCAATTATTTTATCACTTTCATTGATGATTATTCTTTGGGGTCCTTCCAAGAACACATCTCTTGATGGGGCCAATTATTTTATCACTTTCATTGATGATTATTCCAGGAGAAATTAGGTATACCCTATGAAGCATAAACATGATGTCCTGCATATATTTGTGGAGTAGAAGAAGAAAATGAAGTTGCAGACAGGTAGAGGGGTGAAGGTACTCCGTTCGGATAATGGTGGTGAGTACAAGAGTGATCCGTTTTTGTAATTTTGCCGGGATCACGGTATTAGGCGACACTTCACAGTTAGGGAGACACCGCAACAAAACGGGATGATCGAGAGATTAAACCGTACATTACTAGAAAATGTGCGTTGTATGCTCTCACAGAGTGGATTAGCAAGATCCTTTTGAACCAAAGCGTTGGTTTATACGAGTCATCTCGTGAATAGGTTACCGTGCACCGCGATACATGGAAAGACTCCTATGAAAAAATGGTCTGGTTCAACGGCTAGTGATTATGAGTTGCTCCGGATATTCGGGTTTCCAGCTTACTATCATGTGAATGATGGGAAATTAAATCCGAGAGCTAGAAAAGCAGTCTTCATGGGCTTTAGAGATGGAGTTAAAGGCTTCAAGTTGTGGGATCCACAAGACAAGAAGATGATCATTAGCAGATATCACGTTTAATGAGGCTCACATGATGAGATCTCAGATTCCTCAACAGGTGGGGGAAGACCAGACTAGTAGGGTATCACAGCAGGTGGAGGATAATGTGACTCCACAGACTTCAGATAGCATTGTATCTATTAAGACTCCTACAGAAGTGACACTGGGAGGAGATGATATGATAGATGGGAAGGTGAAGGATACAATGGATGTTAGGACTCAGGAACAGGATCATGTTCAAGAGTCCATTGCAGCTAATACACCAAGAAGAAACGATAATTGGGAACTCACAAAGCTATCGAATGGTAAGAAGGTTATTGGATGTAAGTGAGTGTATGCAAATAAAGAGGGATTTTCTATTGGGGACATTCTTTTCAAAGCCAGATTGGTTACCAAGGGATATGCACAGCTAGAGGACGTTGATTACAACGAGGTATTTTTACCTGTTATGAAGCATTCGTCGATTCGTATTTTATTGGCATTGGTGGCACATCTGGATTTGGATTTAGTCCAGATGGATGTTAAGACAGCCTTTCTACAAGGAGATTTAGAAGAGGAGATCTACATGACACAACCTATGGGGTTCAAAGCTGCAGGTAAGGAAGAATTAGTATGTAAGCTGAAGAAATCTCTTTACGGATTGAAGTAATCGTCGCGATAATGGTACAAGAGATTCGACTGCTTCATTTATTGCTGAGAAGGGGTTGGTGAATATTAATTGGGGTTTTGTGTATTTAAGAGAGAGAGTTTGAGCATTGATTTTAGATTAAAATCAATTGCTATTTGTTTGAGAGATCTCAAGTTTGAGATCCTCTAAATCAATTGCTATTTGTTTGAGAGATCTCAAGTTTGAGATCCTCTCTCTTATTTGTAATTTTTTGTTATTAATAAGAAATTATGAGAGATCTCAAGTTTGAGATCCTCTCTCTTATTTGTAATTTTTTGTTATTAATAAGAAATTATTGTGCTGCTCCCGTGGACGTAGGCAGATTTACCGAACCACGTAAAATCTGGTGTCTTGCATTTGTAATGCTTTTTTGGTTGTTGATTAGTGTTCCAATCTTGTTTGTAATTGTGTGCCTACGGTTCCGCTGCACACAACACAATCATCCCCATAGCTTCGGAGTTTTGATGCAGTGGCACGGTCCTTTGACAAAATAACTAACCATTCCAATGTTTAGACCTTTGTTCCATTGTTCCGTAGGAGGTAAAAAGAGGAAAGAAGAAAGGAGGAAAGAAAAAGGGGAACAAATTTTTGAGAGCAGAACCCTGAACTCAATAACAATCAGATCAACTCTCCTGTTCTCATTAGGAATGTGGCACAATTCAATCATCGAGAAATGAGACTCACAAAATTTGAACAACCTTTTTTTTTAAGATTATGAAGGTTATGTTCGTAGCTTGCAAGCATTTATTTATAAAGAAATTAAAACAAAAATATCTAAGATTAACTCACCTTTCGAGCAGGACACATCGAGCTCAGTTTGCTTGCAAGATCCTCTCAAAAGCATCAACTTCCTTCTGTTGAAATCCACAACCTGATGGTAAAAAAGAAATGATAACTTCTCATTGAAATCCCAAATTAGAGCTCGAATCAAAGGTGAAATTAAACCCCAGAGATAACTGATAAATACAAAACCTTGAAATGGGAGACAGAAGTAGAGATTCTCGGAGTAATTGAAACTGACGCCATCGAGAACGCTGGGAGCGAGGAGAGGCGCGAAGAGAGGGATAACACAGAGGGAGGCAGCAGTAAAAGACGGATGTGCCCGTGTTCGCGTATGGCCGTGCGGATCTCACCGCGTAGAAGTTGAAGGGTCTTTTGGTCATTTTGATTCCCCCAGGCTCGCGTCGGGTTCCTGTCTTCCAGAGGCATCTCGATGTCCCGTGTCACTGGCACTCTAAAAAATTTATTTTAATTAGTCATCAAGTTAATTATTACACTCAGCCCCCATGAACTATCAGTATTTTGAACTCAACTCCTATGAACTTTCATAATCATACCTAAGCCGCCATCAACCTTTTAAAATTGCAGAAAACTCCATGAACTTTCTGTTTCTTGTAGATAAACACCACAAATTAGACCAAAAAACAACATGAAAGAGGCATTTTGAAAGTTCATAGGGGTTTAGTATAATTTAGCTAAAAGTTTATGGGGTTTATACAAAAGTCAATGGGGGCTAAGTGTGATTTTGAAGGTTTATGGGAGTTTAAAACAAAATACTAAAAATGTATGGAGGCTTTGTGTAGTTTACCCTTAGTTTTTACAATTATTATACTTTTTCACACTTTCTCGCGTTTGTAACGCGGTCGCGAGGCACTAAAGACATGACTTGCTTCAGACAATCTTGACTAGAATTTGACGCAAAAATTTCAATTGAGGGCCTCCACAGGACTTGATTTTTCGCTACACCAAAAACTTAACATTCCACTACGAGAACAACATTGCTATGCAAAATCCAAACCTAGTCCTAAAACTATATTAGTATTTAAGCACTGGTCATCTAAGTACTTCACAGAACATTCTTCCAACAGCTATTTACCTCTAGAAAATCGAATTCTGATATGTTATCGCTTCTCTAGTAACAACTGGAAGCAAACTCAAAATTCTAAAATGACAGGCAGAAATAATAAATATATCAAAACAATATCATTAAAAAGAAACACCACTTATCAACCATTCAAATAACACAACAATTTACCCAACATCCCACATACACTAATTTACAATAGGTTTATTACCATGTTTCACCAACTGCATAAAACATAACACCACAGTTCTCCTGTGGGGGAATTTTAATGGCTGACAAGCTTAAGGGAGTCACCCTTCTCCTTAAGGCTGACCAGCAGACTGTCGAAGCTCTTCTTGAAGGAATCAACTCCCTCTGCCTCTAAGATCGCTCCGACCTCGTTCCAGTCAACTCCAAGCTTCTCAATGGCACTGTAGATTCCTTCAGCCTCTGAAACATTTGCATCAATTGTTCTTGAGACGACTCCATGGTCGATGAATGCCTGCAGTGCTTGGTCAGGCATAGTTGAGACCTGAAACCAAAAGCTCGGGAGAATGAGGTACCATAAATTTGTGGCCAATGAGGGGATTAATGAAAGGATAAATTACACAATAACTACCATGTCACTCCCAGAACAGCAGAAAAATAAGCAGGCAGGCATTAACAACTAGCATTAAAGGTCTAAATTATCCTTTTTTATATTTATCAATCCACAAAGTGTGCAAGGATAATAATGAAGATAGGGCAAAAATGTCCAAAATATGTCGTGCTTCGAACGTGACAGGCATGGTAGTTAGTGATAAAAGCTTATGATAGCTTTTTCTAATGAAAGAAGTTTATGGTAGTTTCATGTCGAACACCCCAAAGCTAACGGTATTTTGTGAAATGTGTCCTTAACAAAAAAATAATTATGTGGTACTAATTACTTAATTATATACATGAAGGAGGAGTTACAGCTTTGGACTAGAATTGATGATCAACCAACTATAGTGGTTACAAATCTGATTACAAATGAATACTAAAGTGGAATATTTACATTGTTCTGAATACCTCCTCGAACAGATTCTTCGCTAATGAGTTTGCATGACAATGTAATAACAAAAACAATAATGTAGTCAAGCATCTAATGAATTCTTGATGCGCTGCTTTATGAAGGTGCTTCGTAAGGTCCTTTTAGCACAAATATTAAAACTTGAAAAATTGTATCCACTATTATCGGCTCTAAGATTCCTTTACGAAACCATTCCTACATAGGCTATATTTTCATTATGGACTCTTTACATCATTTCTTACCATCTCACTATTACATATACCCTTATGTACCCTTCCATGGCACCTTCTCACTGTATCTCTCATAACATCAGTTATCCATCATCAACTTCAAATGTTTTACAACTTCCCAGCACTTTTACTTTCCAAGTTTACTATGTTTGACTGGACGGTTATTATCCAATCATTTAAACCAGCTCAGCATTTGAAGTGATCTTCTATTTCTTTTTCTTTTTTTATTTGTACACGTGTATGCTTGTGCAAGTTAAATATAATTTTCTGATGCAAGTTGTGACAGACTGTATCGATCGCATAAAATCTGAAAGCCTACTGGATACTTCGTAAATAGAAATAATTTAGTCTTTTAATTTTGACAGCAAAACATGTCTACAAAGGAAAATCTGGGTTGTTATGCAATCTTCATTTTGAGGTATAGATATAAAACAGATGAGGACAAAAGCTATTTCTCTAGGATATAAAAAGATGGTGCCAATGCTCACCGTGTCAGGTCCAATTAAGGGAGCCACATATAGTGTGTCAGGATATGCAGGATTCTTAACACTGGTTGAGGCCCACAGTAATCTCTGCTTCTTGGCTCCTTTTTTCACTAAAGCCTCCCATCTTGGCCCAGAAAATTTCTTCTGATAAAGCTTATAAGCTAGTGCTGCTTGGGCAACTGCTGCCTACATTGAGCTCGAAACAGGATCTATAAGCATGAACACCATAATAGCCTATAATTTTAAAAGCGTTGTAGGCAGAAAATATTACCTTTCCTCTCAGGTCAAGAGCTTCAGGTGTTCCAATCTTTTCAAGCATCTTATCAACAAGAGTGTCGACGCGACTAACAAAGAAGGATGCTACACTTGTAACCTTGGAGAGATCGCTCAGCCCAGAAGATTCAAGGCCATCCAAGTAAGCATCAATAACAGCTTCATATCTAGAAAGTGAAAAGATCAACTGTGCAGTAAAAAAGTTATGTTAGTATAGAATATAGATCAACAAATCAGTAATGCAAACAGACAGAACTTCAAAAATATGGATCAACCAAGTAAGCATCAATAAGAGCTTCATATCTAGAAAGTGAAAAGGTCAACTGTGAAGTAAAAAAGATATGTTAATATAGAATATAGATCACCTAATCAGTTATGCAAACAGTTAAAACTTTAAAAGCAAATGCATATGATGAGTAGACCAATAGAAATTCCTCTATGACCAAAGTCTGCAGGCAATAGTTGAAAATTATCTCTCAAACAAGGAAATTGTTGCAGGCAATATTTCAAATTACTACAGGAAAAGATAGCCATGTTTCTGAATCAATTGCATACCTTCTTTCAGACATGAACTTCTCAGCCATACAGAGGTAACTAGTTTATTCCAAATGTCATAATAAACATAAATTCTAGTAGCTCATGGGAAATAAAGGAGCTAAGGAGAAGTTGGTACAACATAAAATCCAACTAATTGATTAATTTTCAAAGGTGATATCTAGACAATTAGAAATAATAAAATTAACAATCACAACTCAAATAGGAGTGGCATTCATCAAATTTCGTGGTAAACACATCGTTGTACCATCCGCCAATCCTTTTCAATGGGGAAGAGCAATACCAAAGTTGAAAAAAATTAAACGAAAGCGCTAGGTTGGATCGGTTAATGTTGTGGGAGGTTTATAAGTTTTTGAACATATATGATTGTATTTTGTGATCTGACGCATCCATCATTATAAGGTTGGAGATGATGGATTTTTTTTTTTTTTTTTTTTTTAACCAACCTGATTCTGTAGTGTTGCGGCTGGGAATTCTTGATCCCGTCCTTTAAAAAAACAAAGAAATTTTAAGAAAATTTCACGCCAACTGTTAGTATATGTCAAACCACTTTGAGCTGGTAATGAAGAACAAGCCAAGGTAAATAAGAGGAAAGAAACCCTGTTAGATAGACATCTAGTCAGAAGATATAAATCCTAGCCTTCTGGGTGATGCAGTTTAACCTCATGGAACTAAAAAGGGTCAAACCAAATCCCCTAATTCCCAGACTTCAAAAGAGTACAGATAAAGAGATGATACGTAGTTCTCCTATTGGAAATGAATATTATCTCCAAGTACAGCAAAAGACGAGCGAAATGAAATCACATCCCAAATATCACAAGAAAACGCAAGGCTTCATATGTAAGAATGGAAAGATATAAAATGAAAAAGAAAATATATGGTATGATGCTGAGATGTGCTACATCCCTGCAGAGGAATAAACCCTTGTATAAACCAGCTAGAAAGTCAGATACCCTTAATTCATCTGAAAAGAAGTATCTATGAACATCTCTACCACAGGTTTAAAGTTTTATTTTCTTGCGCAAATACCGCAATCCATCTCCCCAGGTTACAATCTTTTCTCAAACAAAGTCAGCATGCCAGCAAGTCTTACAACCATATTCATCAAAGTACGAGACAGATACTTCACACCATTAGATTATATTATAATACTTAATGCCATGAAGCAAACCATTAAGGCAGATCAACAAGAAAAACAAAATATTACCAAATAGGAATACAAGTTAGGAAACTCTAGTTATTGAGCTTACCGTTACATTGACACTTATTCCAAGTGAAATGACCTCTTTGATAGAAGGAATGCATTCTGCGGTAGCTGGAATCTTTATGTAGACATTGGAGCGATCAACCAATTTATGAAGCCATTTTGCTGCTTCAACAGTTCCATTCGTGTCATTTGCAAGTCTGGGAGATACTTCAACTGATACATAGCCATCACTTCCATCAGTTTGATCATAAATGGGCTCAAAAAGTTTGCATGCATCTTGAATATCCTTTATCACAAGCTCCCAGTATGCACTTTCTGCATCCTTTCCATCCGATACAAGCTGCCTGAAATTCCAAACATCAAGTTCATTGAAAAACATAAAATTTGTGTTCCTCTGGAATTAAAAAAAACAAAACAAACGAAAAGATTTCAAAAATATTTCTTAAAAACAATGATGTTACCATATTAAATATGGGTATATGAGCATAGGTCCAAGAACCATATAGAAGGAATAGAAAATTTGTGAAGCTTATTAACATGGAGACACTTTTATTCATGCTATACAAATCTCAAATAAATGCACACAAAAATAACTACTTAATAAAAAATTGTTGTACACAGTTCTGCCTAAAGAGAGGATTATGGGTTTGAACAAACTGGGAAGTGGTTACCTAAATTGTTCATCATAGGCGCTTGATGATGAGATTGCTTTCTGGAAGATCTGTAAGCAAAGTACAGTAGGGAAAATGTCAGAACTGAAAAGAAAAACATACATAAATAAAAATTACAGATATTTGCATGCATCATTTCATATCCTTCAAAGAGATATGGTTATAAAGGTCAAAAGCATGAAATCAAGATACACCAAATATATTACCGTTGGGTTGCTAGTAACGCCTCTGACCCCGCTAGCAATCAAAGGCAACAAATCTGTCACTGGGCGACATAAATTGTCATACCATGGAGATTGTCCTTGCTGATCATATAGATCATGCAGTGTAGTCTTCTTTGTTGGAACACCATTTCCATCGTGTTTGGAGGCGCGCACGCTGGAAATCATAACCAATTAAAGATATGGTAAATGTTACCTGAACAAACGCTTGCATTGAGTAATGTTGCACACCTAAACAGATAAAGCAATTTCTTGGGGGGAAAAACTCAATAACCCACCAAACACTCTTATATAACAGCCTAATTATCAGTCAACATAAATCCTAACATTTAAGGAGCAACTTCTACTCAAGAGCATCCACTTCCCTCCAAATCCTCTTCTACTCATTCAGGATGCATTTGAATAAAATTATAAATAAACCAAACATACTATTGGAAGGAATAAAAATTACACCACAATAAACTTAAAAGTGCTTGAAGAAAACATCAACCAAAGGTCACGTTTACAACATTTCTCAAACTAGTCACCTCAAAGCAAAATTCTCAAGCCATACTCAACTGATTCCTAAGAAAACTTCAATAAGAAAAATAGAATTTGACCTAATATTCAAAATCCACGGAACAATTACTAGGTTTTTGTCTACAAACTTAAAATTCCGCCCTAATTTATTTTAAACTCACCCACTTACAAAATCACTCTTATATCCAATATATATAGCCAATTATTTTCCAAACTCAATTTGCGTTTTAGTACTATTCAGATGTCGAAAGTTGCTATAATTCATGTATCAGTAACCATATTTGGGCCTAAGTTACTATATTTGGTGCATCAGTAGTCTAAGTTACTATATTTGGTGCATCAGTAGCTACATTTGGGTTTAAAAATAATTCCACATGAATATTTTGGGTTTAAGAATGATTTGGAATGTGGGTGAGTTTGAAAATAAATCAAGATAGAACTTTTGTAAAAAAAAAGGTAAATTACACTTAAACATTCCATAGTTGAGCCAATGTCGCACATATATACCCTCAGTTGTAAAACCCTCTACTTAAATACCTAAAGTTCCAAAAAGTTGCACTTTAGTGCCTTCGGTTGTGCAGACATGAGAATATAAATATTCCCCCAAAAAATTGTCATGCGACACTCGCATGCTATTTTCTGAACATTTCGAGCCTCAAACCTATTGTTAAACCTATCAAATCCAAATTTAAGATTGTAATAGGGTAGGTTTAAAATAGGGTTTTGAAATGTTCTAAAAATAACATGCTGGGTGTCACATGAGAATTTTGTGGGGAAAATTCTCAAATTTGTATGATCGAGGGTAACAAAGTGAAAATTTTTAGACTTTAGGGCACTAAGTGAAGGGCTTTACAGCTGAGGCCTGGGGGTATATAACTGCAACATTAGGTAAATGGTAGGGTATTTAATTATAATTTACCCAACAACAAACCCCAATTATTAACCAGAGTGATTAAACCCCTAAATACAATCCGAGAGAGAGAGAGAGAGAGAGAGAGAGAGAGAGAGAGATTAATTAGAGAAACGTACACCAGAGAGCCTCTCTCGACGCAATCTCTTCGAATCGAGATACTAAATGGCGATCCTCGCCTCTCAATCGAGGCTCCGCTCAAACCAAACTCGAGCGATGAGATCTTTAGCTCCGATCGAAGAGTCGAGGATGACAAGGAAGCAGTAGAAGCAAAGCTAGGGTTTGCGAGTTTCGCGATCGACGCCATCAGAGAGAGAGGGGAGGAGAAATTTTGGGAATTTTGAGTGAGATTGAAGAGAACTGAAAGCTAGGCTGGTGGGTTTTAAATACGTCGGAGTGCACGAGGCGGCGGGGTTAGTGGAGGGTAGAATGGTAAATTTGAAAGAGAGGGTCCCTGGTAGGTTGGACACAGTGAATGGGTGCAGCGTGCGTATCTTGGAAGAGAATCGTAGGGTGAAAATGACCCTGATCATTTTAATATTTGCGGAAATGCCCTGACTTTTCAAGTACGGATGGGTTACCCCTATCGGCCCCCTTGACCTTGCTCGAGCTTATAATAACTCATAAAATTAACTAATAAATAGAACTAAGTTGTAGTGTTGAAAGTAGCTGTTTATAATCAAATATTAAAAACTGTTTGAAAAATAGTAAGATGTTTTGTAGAACCATTTTTAATGATTATTACTAAAAGGTAATTCGTATATATAGTATATAGACTAAAAAAATAGAAGTTGATTTTAAAATCATTCTTAGGTTGCTTCTAAAAGCATCATCTTAAAAGCAAAAAACAATTTTTAATAAACATGATGAAAAAATTTCACTAAATACTATTATTGGTTGCCTCTAGGAAAAACAAAGAAAAGCACCCTTAAAAAAGCAATATCAAACTGACTTTACGTATAGAGGCACCTATGGGTTAATTGCATTTTAGCACCCTATAGTTTTTCTATTTTGCACTTATATACTTTCATTTGTTTCGGCAATACTTTTTTTTCGTTGGGACAATTTAGAACCATGTGGGATAATTATTCTAAGGGGCTGTTTGGTTCGTTTTTTAGATATAGGAAAATGTATTTCTATGTACAAAAATACAAGTTTTGAGTTTTTCAAACTTTTCCAAGAAATAGATTGTTTCGCTTTGGTTCGCACAAAAAAATGGTGGGAAACCAATGTATTTATTTTTCTTGTGTTTGGTTCGCATGAAAAAAAAAGAAAAACTTTGGTTTATATGGCAAAAAGCTGACGTAGTTGTAGTTTTCGTCGATTTCACGAGGTTGAGGAAGGAATTGGGGGAGAGAAAAAAATCTGATGTGGCGGCGATTTTCACCGAGTTTTCCTTCTTCAACCTTAGCAAACCAAAGATGGGAAAAAAACCGACGGAAAGCTTATATCCTACGTGGCCACGAAAAATCTGATGTGGAGGCGGTGTAAAACTTTTCCACTGAGTTAAAAAACGAACCAAACAGCCCCTAATGGGAAAATTTTAACTCATGCATTGGGACAATTTGAGTGGGACAAAGTTGAATAATTTGAAATAATAAAAAAAATTAGATTTGTGATTGGGACAATTTAAGTGGAATAATTAATGACATAACGTATTAATATAATATCATATTTATTAAACTTACCATGATTTATCATAATATTAAATCAGTATATCATAATATAATATGATATATTACAATAAACTATTTTCTTAATATATTACTATACTATATAATATATTTTATGTCATCATGATTTATCATAAATATGTATAATCTTGTCAGTAAATATGATATAATAATAAATTTTACTTAATATATTATAGTGACAATATAATTAATATAATATGTTTAATATATTATAAATTTTACATATAACATATATGTCAAAAATGTTAAAACTATTAACCTAATGGAATATATTATGTTGTGTTATACTATAATTATAATTAATATTATAATATATGTTATTAATAATGTTAAAATCTGTATCATAATATTATAGTAAATTTTATTTTTATTATAATATATTACAATATATCTTAATAGATAATACGGTTTTTGAGATATTAGCCCCTAAATCTCATCTATTTAGATACAAGACCCCACGTCATCATATTTGGATAGATATCCCCCTAATCTCATTCATGCGCATACAAGTCTTCCAAATAATCATATTTGGACACAAGTGCCCCCAAATTTTTAAGTTCTTTAAAACAAGTCCCATTATTAATTGCCATCCATTTAACATAACTTAATTAATAGGGTTATTAATTTTCTTATTTCATTATCGTCCTTGTTTTTAACCTACCCTCTTGCAAAGTCAATAAATTAAGCCAACGTATCCTTTGAACCCAATGAAAACCTACTCTATCTTGCTAATTTTTTTTAAAACCATCTAATGAAAAGGTAATTTCTAACAACTTGTTAGTTTATTAGGTACTTAGCTGAGTGGGAATTAATCACGATGACCTGTTTCAAAGAAATTAGTTTGAGGCACTTATATCAAGATTTGATGATTTGGAGATTTATATCCAAATAGTTGAGATTAAGACATGTATCCAAATATGATGCTATGGAGGACTTGTATCTAAGTAGATGAGATTTGAGGGACCGATATCTCAAAAACCCTAAATAATATAATATAAACATGCTATACTTAATTGTATTATATTATAATTCAATAATATAACGTACTAGTTAAGTTTAGTAGAATATAATGTTTTATAATACAGTTAAATATTATATTATGTGAAATATTTAAAATATATCATATTATAATTAATGTAACAGAAATAAGTTTAGTGAAATATAATATAATATATTATAAAATATTAAATTATAATATAGAATATTATGTTACTTTTATTATACTATAGAAAATTAATGTACTATATTGTAATATATCGTTTTATAATAAATATAATATAATATTACAATATAACATATTATATTTAAAATTAACATAATATATTAAAAATATGTTAATGATATTACTTATTTAATCATTTTATGTGTAGTTAATATTTATTACTTAATTATTTTTTATCTTAAATACATATATATCTAAAATGATTAGCACATACATTATCTATGTGTAGTTAATATTTATTACTTAATTATTTTTTATCTTAAATACATATCTAAAATGATCATACATAATTATGTGTAGTTAATATATCAATGTTCCAAAATTATCCCACTTGTCTTAAATTGTTCCATTGTGAGACTTGGGTAAACTATGGCTAGGGGGACTATGGCTTGGGGGCAAACTTTTTTCTATATGAGCGAGACAATTTTATCCCATGTGGGATAATAATTTTATTACAGTTTAAAAAACCAATAACACTAAATGTTATTGTTCTAATCTCATTATCCCAACCAATAACACTGAAAGAATATCGTCCCAAAATTTATTTCAACTAAAACTTGCCCTTATTACTTATATACCCTCACTTGTTTCTAGCAGCACTTATGTACCCTAAAATATTTAAAATCTATACTTAAATGCCTTAAAATATTTAAAACTTGCATTAAATACCGTCATTGTGCAAAGTTGAGGGCATTTAAGTGCAACTTTTAAAAACTTTTAGATACTTAAGTGCTAGTTTAAAAATCTTTAGAGTACATAAGTGTTGTCAAAACAAATAACGGTATGCAAGTGCAAGTTTTAAAAACCCGAGAGTACATAAGCGCCATCAAAAACAAGTAAAGACTATATAAGGGCAATGTGGAACTGTAGAAATACCTGTTATTGGAAGTAAAAACAAGTAAAGCTATATGGAAGTACATGTTACCGTGCTACTGCTGGGGGAATGTGGAACTGCAGAAATAACCTAATATTTAGAGATATTCAAGCTAATCCCTCTCATATTGCTTCTAATATCACTAGATATACCATGTTTTGTATAGGGGCTGAAGATGATAGGCTTGCAAGGCGGCTTCAAAGGGCAACTTACAATCTAAAGCTGCAGGATATAGCCAAGGAAAATGCAGCAGGGGATATCGGTGACAACTTCTCAAAGAGTACTAGTTAGTGGTGGTCGTTGTATACTTGTGGCCTTAGCTTTTGGTGGTTTTCTTTTGGCCTGTACTGTTTTTTTTTTCTCGCAATATTAGACTTTGTTTGTCTGTTATATATCATTGTCTTGGTGGATGTCACTTGGTTTGACGACTTGATAGATGACGACAAGGTCCGCTCCTTATCAGCTCGTTCTCACTTCGTAATTTCCCCTGGGTTATTTGGCTTCGGTTGTATCCGATTTTTGTTTCAGTTTCCATATCCGCTCCTTATCAGCTCGTTCTCACTTCGTAATTTCCCCTGGGTTATTTGGCTTCGGTTGTATCCGATTTTTGTTTCAGTTTCCATATACCGCTCCTTATCAGCTCGTTCTCACTTCGTAATTTCCCCTGGGTTATTTGGCTTCGGTTGTATCCGATTTTTGTTTCAGTTTCCATATA